AAGGTTTGGCGCATTTCAACCCCCAGGTTTCCTGTTTGAATGTTTAAAATAGCAGCTCTTGAACTCAAGCGGCACAATCACAGAATAGCTTGCCCTCGCCACAGCCAGCCCAAGAAGGCCATGGTGAAGCAAACCTGTGTGGTCAGAAATGCCTGAGGCTGTTCAGTCCGTGTTTATTTTCAGAATGCCTTTCCGAAGTACAGAGCATTCTTAGGCTCTACTCCAGATTCTTTCTTTCTAGTCTCCTCTACCCAAAGAAAACAGATCTATCCCCTAAAATTTACAGGACATCCATGCTTCCTAATGCATTGTCTAAAACAGTGGTTCTCAACCTTCTGGCCCTTTAAATACAGTTCCTCATGTTGTGACCCAACCATAAAATTATTTTCGTTGCTACTTCATAACTGTAATGTTGCTACTGTTATGAATCGTAATGTAAATATCTGATATGCAGGATGGTCTTAGGCGACCCCTGTGAAAGGGTCGTTCGACCGCCAAAGGGGTCGCGACCCACGGGTTGAGAACCGCTGGTCTACAAAAAAGGGAAATCTCCTGATTTTGAAAGTGTCCAACCAAGTACAACTAGACTCACTTCTGATATGCCAGTTGAGCAGAGGAGCACAGTTTTGGGGGAAGAAGCAATTAATCATTAAAAAATGATTTTTATTCGCAAGTGCTCCAAGTGTGGACACAGTGGAACTTACAGTGAGGAGCTCGCCTGCCCCGGGGCAGCGCTTCTCTCCCTGCAGGCAGACCTAGGCGCAAGGGGAGTCATAACCAGACAGTTCCCCATGGGTATGGGATCAGAACAAGGGGAGCTGGGTGAATGGAAAGGGTTATACTCTAGGATGGGGTGTTTTCTGTGCGGGCAGAAACCTGTTCACTGCTCTTCTTCCACTTGCACGTCTCTACCAGTTCTTCACCAAGGACTTCTCTTGCTCTAGTCCCCTCGGCAGGCCAACTTCTTTTCTTTTGAGGTCCTGATGGCCCGTTGCTCTTTAGTCCCAGTCCAAGTCGTTGCTGTTCTGCGCCTCTATTGCAGGTAGCGCTCCTGTGTTTTCTCTCTCAGAAAGAAAACCTCTGACTTCTGTTTCCAGCTTCTTGGCAGAACCTCCGTGTAGTCCCTGTATAGTTTCCAAGTTGTTTTTAGTATCACAAAGCCCACTTCCATTTTTTAAAGAACCCGAGTAGGTGGGAAAGCATTTATATCAGTGAATTTTGGAGCATGGGTGGGGGCCCAATCTGTTGATATAACTGCTAACTATGATGACAGCTCTGTTAAGAAATAGCCTGATCACTGGTGAAAAGGAGGATTCCAAAGTATTAATCCTTGACCACTAGCAAAATGATGGATAATTCCATTGGAGAAATAGAGAAACCAAGGTAGGGCTCTATTTTGGGGGAGGGGCGGGGTGGAGATTGATTTGGACTTGCCGAATTTAAGGTAAGGGGTGGGTATCAATGTAGAAATGTAATGAAGACAGTTGGGGGTAACAGCATGAGAAGTCCTTGTTATTACAGCTAAACCTCCTTTAGAATCTCTTGACCTGGAATGTTCTTGTTTTTTTCCACTATCCCTGAAACATTGGAAGGAAATGGATTATGGCTGCCCAGGGGGCCTTCTTCTCTAGCTTCACAACCAGGAAGAAAATGAGAAGGATATTTCATAATCACCAGGTTTTCATAAGAACTTGGTGTGAGGAGACCATCTACTGGGTGGTACTGAGAGGAACTGGTTTGATTTCATCCACTCCTATTTAATTTCCATTGTGTCCTCTCCAAGGACATGCTGACTTACATGTCGGTGTGCGATGTGGGAAGGAAAAGGACATCAAACATTGCTGAATGTACTGTACTTCTCTTCTGGAACCACTTCCATGGACTCATTACACAAACTCTCACTGAGCCGGGGAGCCCAAGCATTACTGATCTCAGAGCTTTTGGATACCACCTGCCTTGACATCGATTTCAATGCTAGCGGGACATTTCAGAAACAATCAATTTAACTGAGTGCAAATGATGTGATCACCAAGGTTTGGTAAAAAGCCTACAGTTGAGACCTAGAAAGTAAATGCCCTCTTCCTCTGAGTCACTTGACATTTTTCAGTAGACTGAGAACTGACAGAATTCCCAAGAAAGCAAATAGTTTTATTCATATGGCAAAACAGTTAATTCTCAATGAATAAGATCAGCTGATGGGCACCACAAGAACTTTGTAATATAAAGGACAACCTGCAAAAAGAGATTGGAAAATGACCATAAATGACTAAAACATTAAGGACACAGATGTGCAGTAATTTTTTAAAAAGGTATCAGAAAAATAAATATAACCTTCCCAGGTGCCTTCCATAGTAAGGATTTTGATGGCTAATGGGAGTTCTTGTGTCACATGCCTGAAGTTGACAGCAATAGGCAGTCTGCTTTTTCTTTGAGACGAAATATGACATGGGTGTGGTTTCCCATGCTTTCTTTAAGCATTGCACGACTACAGCAAAAAGCACAGTCATTTCTTTTTTGCTCTTAGCATCTTGGTGGCTGGCTTCCCTTGTTCCTCCTTCCCACCTCCTCCCGTCCCTCTTCCCCCCACCCCTCCCCAACAAAGGCTTAAAAGGCTTTCAGGAAATTGGGCAACCCAAAGAAACTGCCACTGATAGTGTTTTGTTAATTCTATAAATATCTCTGTAAACTTCACTCCACTGAGACATAATTTCAGCAATTGGAGTAATGGGCTTCCCTGCTGTTGCATACATCCAGACTGCCAGTGCTCCGACTGGCTCAGCAGTTCCTCCCACGGATCTGCTCGCAACACTGTCATTAGTCTCCCCTGCCCTAGGTGTGAGGTTGGAGGGGATGTGAGGTAAACATTGCCTTTCTGAAATTGGCTGCCCCAACCGATCAGCAGTGAAAATAGCAAGAAAATGTTCCCTTCCAGACCTGGAAACGCCTGTTTTGATTTGTTTGTGAACCCAGGTGGGGCTTGTTTATTGACAAACTGTTCTTCTTCTGATCAGCAGGTGATGTTTACACAAGATGTTAAATCCCTTCACACCTCTTTAAAAATCTGTTCTCACCATTGCAAGTCTTCTTGGAGAAAGGGTCCCGTAGTTAAGTGGTTGCAAGAAGTACCTAAGGAATAGAATTCTGTAACACAATAATTTAAATTTTTTTATTTACTGACCGATTTTAGAGAGGAAAGGAGAAACATTGATTTGTTGTTCCATCTATTTATGCACTCACTGGTTGATTCTTACCTGTGTCCTGACTGGGGCTTGAACCTTCAACCTTGGAGCATTGGGACCAAGCTTTCACCAACTGAGCTACCTGGCCAGGGCACACAATTGAAAAAAAAAATTCTCAAAATCACCCAGTTCAGCTTTGTTTATTGGGCATGTTCAGCTCATGATTAATGATCTCCTTTGCCTTATTTTTCCTTTCTTCCCTCTTCAACTTTCCATACAATGCACCTCTAAATGATCCCACTAACATTTGATATATCTTTGATTTTATGCTAAGTGAAGTCTGTGTTTCACACCTGACCAAGATTTGGTAGTCACTGTGTGTTATACTGGGTAGCAGCTCTACTGCTGTGTGTGTGTGTGTGTGTGTGTGTGTGTGTGTGTGTGTGTGTGTGGGAAGGAAAAGGACATCAAACATTGCTGAATGTACTGTACTTCTCTTCTGGAACCACTTCCATGGACTCATTACACAAACTCTCACTGAGCCGGGGAGCCCAAGCATTACTGATCTCAGAGCTTTTGGATACCACCTGCCTTGACATCGATTTCAATGCTAGCGGGACATTTCAGAAACAATCAATTTAACTGAGTGCAAATGATGTGATCACCAAGGTTTGGTAAAAAGCCTACAGTTGAGACCTAGAAAGTAAATGCCCTCTTCCTCTGAGTCACTTGACATTTTTCAGTAGACTGAGAACTGACAGAATTCCCAAGAAAGCAAATAGTTTTATTCATATGGCAAAACAGTTAATTCTCAATGAATAAGATCAGCTGATGGGCACCACAAGAACTTTGTAATATAAAGGACAACCTGCAAAAAGAGATTGGAAAATGACCATAAATGACTAAAACATTAAGGACACAGATGTGCAGTAATTTTTTAAAAAAGTATCAGAAAAATAAATATAACCTTCCCAGGTGCCTTCCATTGTAAGGATTTTGATGGCTAATGGGAGTTCTTGTGTCACTTGTCTGAAGTTGACAGCAATAGGCAGTCTGCTTTTTCTTTGAGACGAAATATGACATGGGTGTGGTTTCCCATGCTTTCTTTAAGCATTGCACGACTACAGCAAAAAGCACAGTCATTTCTTTTTTGCTCTTAGCATCTTGGTGGCTGGCTTCCCTTGTTCCTCCTTCCCACCTCCTCCCGTCCCTCTTCCCCCCACCCCTCCCCAACAAAGGCTTAAAAGGCTTTCAGGAAATTGGGCAACCCAAAGAAACTGCCACTGATAGTGTTTTGTTAATTCTATAAATATCTCTGTAAACTTCACTCCACTGAGACATAATTTCAGCAATTGGAGTAATGGGCTTCCCTGCTGTTGCATACATCCAGACTGCCAGTGCTCCGACTGGCTCAGCAGTTCCTCCCACGGATCTGCTCGCAACACTGTCATTAGTCTCCCCTGCCCTAGGTGTGAGGTTGGAGGGGATGTGAGGTAAACATTGCCTTTCTGAAATTGGCTGCCCCAACCGATCAGCAGTGAAAATAGCAAGAAAATGTTCCCTTCCAGACCTGGAAACGCCTGTTTTGATTTGTTTGTGAACCCAGGTGGGGCTTGTTTATTGACAAACTGTTCTTCTTCTGATCAGCAGGTGATGTTTACACAAGATGTTAAATCCCTTCACACCTCTTTAAAAATCTGTTCTCACCATTGCAAGTCTTCTTGGAGAAAGGGTCCCGTAGTTAAGTGGTTGCAAGAAGTACCTAAGGAATAGAATTCTGTAACACAATAATTTAAATTTTTTTATTTACTGACCGATTTTAGAGAGGAAAGGAGAAACATTGATTTGTTGTTCCATCTATTTATGCACTCACTGCTTGATTCTTACCTGTGTCCTGACTGGGGCTTGAACCTTCAACCTTGGAGCATTGGGACCAAGCTTTCACCAACTGAGCTACCTGGCCAGGGCACACAATTGAAAAAAAAAATTCTCAAAATCACCCAGTTCAGCTTTGTTTATTGGGCATGTTCAGCTCATGATTAATGATCTCCTTTGCCTTATTTTTCCTTTCTTCCCTCTTCAACTTTCCATACAATGCACCTCTAAATGATCCCACTAACATTTGATATATCTTTGATTTTATGCTAAGTGAAGTCTGTGTTTCACACCTGACCAAGATTTGGTAGTCACTGTGTGTTATACTGGGTAGCAGCTCTACTGCTGTGTGTGTGTGTGTGTGTGTGTGTGTGTGTGTGTGTGTGTGTGTGCCTGAGTCACCTTGACCTTTTATATCCTAGGTCCAGGCGGTCAGGAAAGGTAGTTAGCACCTGATAGAGGATCACTAGTGCACTAAATGTTAGATGTTAGATGTTAGAGTCGATCTCCTTCCCATCAGAATTTCACTTTCCAAGGATACTATATTTCTTTCATGCTAATCTATATTTTAACAGCTTGTAATTGTCGATTGAGAGGGTAATTAGTTCTAATTTAGTGCTAATGCTCTGAACATAGAGTAAGAAGCTAATTGACATGGCATGCTACCAACTTAAATTTTATGAACTAAAACTTTTTATCTCTTGGGCAGCAGTGAGTGATTTCAGTGTGGCGGTGTCATTTAGGGACAAGAGCTGCTTTGCCCATGGGTGTTCTGTGCCTTGTGGGTGCATCACAGATTGTTGGCGATGGCCGATTTCCTTGATTTTCCAAGTTGGACAGCTCTTCCTTAAACCTGCTTTTGGGAAATTGGCCTAGACACCTATATGCATATTTGGTTAGCACATTTTTGGTTTCAATTGCATTTTTTCCCTACTGGATATAAGGAACTCCTGTGGAGGCCGAAGCATATACAAAGCAGGAGAACATCCATTCCCTACACCCAACAAATCTAGATTTTAGTGGAATTAGCAACACATTCACAGAGCAGTACTTGATAGTCTATAAAAGGCTTTCATGTATATGATTTCATATATATACACAGTCATTAAGGTCAGGGCAGGTATTGTGATACCCATTTTGTAGTTGAAACAACCACAGTTGAAGAAGTTTCAACAACTTGTCTGCAATCATGCGGCAGGTGAAGTGGTGGAGCCAAGCCAAGGACTCGAACCTCTGACTCTTGCTCCGGAGTTGTTTTTCCCTGGTCACATCCCACTCTCCGACCTGTTTACCCAGATCCAGTTTATATTCTTATTGTGTAATTCTGAGCAATTGCTATTATTCCCTTAAAAATTCAGAAAAATTACACAACCATTACCCAACTAACTCATCACCTTTTTACTTCCCAACCCTACTCTGTCCTCGCTCAAACTCAGGAAAACTGCCTTGGAAAAAGGTAAAAACGCCAGAAAGTAAAGAGGATCAGGCAGAGGGTACTTCTGACTTTGTTTTTCCTTTAAAAAATTTCAATTCTCATCCTAAAATGTCAGTTCTCAGTTTAACCTTGAGTAGTTTTTTGAGAATGAAGCCGGTCAGTGACACTTGCTGCCTCCTGGCTGGTCCTGTCCTGGGGTAGCGAGCCTACCAGAATTTTCTTTGGTTCATTTGAGATTATTTAGCGCCTGCATACCAGGTACACAATCTTCATCCATGGTTTGTGTTCAGGTGTTGGTTTGACTGTGATTTGCCCTTTGGATAATTTACTGTCCCTTAGAATCCCCTCCAGAATGTAGACAGGAAGACAAAGGCATGGAGACGGCTGTGCTGTGTGTGAGCAACTCCCTGGCTGTGTAGGCAGCAGCTACTGTCAAAGATGAGGTCTCTGGGTTAGCAAGGCAGTTCTTTCATCTTCTCTCCCCTCCTCCTGCTCCTCTAAACCCCTGGGAGATGAGAGGGCCCAAGTTCTGTTTGTGTCCCTCTGTTAGTTTATTTGTAAACTGCAGGTCAAAAAGTAATATTATGTATAAAATCCAGACTGGACAATTGCTCGTTTCATGCAGGGAGAGAGCGAGAGCTTTAAAGGAAATCAGCTGACTTCCTGACTTGCTGAATGAAGTGTGAGTTTTAGTTTCTATTCTGTTAGGAAATGACATGTGAATAGAATACTTGTATAAGCAGGCCTTTATTTTTGCCATTGGCTGGAAACTTGTAAAAAGAGAAGAGGGGTCTGTTTATTGTACCATCTCAAGATTCGTTTCTGTGAAACAAGGCAGAAATGGGTGTTTCTGAATCCTTTGGTGGTCTCAATCCTGAAATTCCATTTCTTCTGTCCTCCGGCCCAGAGTTGTTAGGTTGCCATAGCAGCATGACTCCTCCACCACAACCCTGAAAGATTAACTGGATACAGATATAGCAGCAAGTGAGGCCAAGATTAAAATCCAAATTTAGGGCGCTGATCACAGAAAGCGGGAGGTCTGGGCAGAGGACTGCTCTTCGTCCCTCCAGGGGCTGCATGTGAAGCGATGGGCGTTTTGCCCTGATGGTTTTGGTGGCCCTGCCCAGAGACGGGGTCAGCCTGAAGAGATTGACGGCCACACTGCAGATGGGACGCCCCCAGGAGGTGGGTGGATCACTGCATGGATGAAGAATATTTAGAGCAGCAGGGTAACCCTCTATCGGATGAAATTGCTGGTGTTCTGAAAGTCAAGCATGAGACTGTTGGGCAAGGACTATAGAGAAAGGCATTGAGTAGGCGCTGCAAAAATAAAGGCTCTTTGTCCCCAAGAATGCTTTCTTAGGGGAGTCTTTGGGATCCTGTAAAGAGTGATCATCATAACACAATTACTCATGTTAATTGAGCACTTAACTACGTTCTAAGCACTTGGTAACTCATAATAACAATGTAATTCTCCTCCTTTGAGCTAGGTGTGGTTATTTTAAAGATAAGGAAACTGAGGCAAGGAGCAGTGAATGGACTTCCCCAAGGTTACATAGTTTGTAAGTGACTGACTGGGATTTGAACCTTTGCAGTGTGGCTCTTAAATCCAGTCTCTTGATTCTCACAGATTGCCTCTAAAGGATATTTATTTTCTTCTCTTGAGGGCGCACAAGTGGAGTGTTCAAGGAACTTTAATTGTAATTTTAAAAAATACAAATATCACCCTAGGTTGAATAGTGTCCCCTCAAAAATGTTGAAGTCCTAACCACTAGAGGCTATTAAATGTGATCTTATTTGAAAATAGGATCTTTGCAGATGGAACCAAGTCCTTAAGGTGGGCCCTAATCTAATATGCCTGGCATCCTTATAAAAAGAAGGAAATGCCAAGTGAAGAGAGACCCACAGGGAGAAAACATGTGATGACAGAGGCAGAGGCTGGAGTGATGCAGCTGTGAGCCAAGGAATGCCAAGCTAGGATTGCTGGCCACCACTGGAAGGGAGGATTCTACTCAGAGCCTCAGGGGAGTGTGGCCCTGCTGTCCCCTTGATTTCAGACCTCTAATCTCCAGAACTGGGAGAGAATAAATTTCTGTTTTTTAAGCCACCCAGTCATTGGTACTTCGTTACAGTGCCTCTAGGCTTCCTCTTGATCTGCCCTCAGGCAATTGTCCACAGGTGTGGCAAGAGTTTTTTTTCAACAGGGTGGGGTAATTATTTCTGCCTGCAGGCTAATTGTTATTCTCAGTCTTATAAGAGTCAAGGAGTTTTCCAGTTGGGTGGGTCAACTGTCTTCCCTGCAGGCAGAGCTGCCTGTATAGCAGTTGTCTGCGTGAGAAGGATAACCTCTGCAGTGTGAGGGAATGGCTCAGCACCGAAACCCGGGTGTCTGTCTTCTGAGCTCTAACCCCAGAGCCCTTGATCCTGGCTTCTGCTCACCCAGCTCCAGTCCACTCTGCTGTTCCTCTGCCAGAGCACAAGGTGGGTAGCTCCACAGGGAATTTTATGCGTTGGCTCTTTAAGAGGGTGTCTGAATTTCCAGCCGTCTCCCCCCACCTCCCCCACAGAAAGCACCCCGCTGCTTTTCACAGCCAGATGTATGTGGGTGCCCTCCTCAGTTTTGGCGCTCTCTGCTGGGGAGCCCAGCTTGGGAATTAGATCCCAGAGTTCTCAGTGGCAACCCCCCACAGCTGAGATATCTCTCCGGGTCTTCAGCTGCCGTCTGTGGGTGCCCGGCCAGCACTTGCGCCTCTGCCCCTCCTACCAGTCTCTATGGGGTCTTCCAGTTTGGACCCGGAGCATGTCTGTGCAGCATCCACTTACTCCGCCGCCATTTTTGTTACAGTGCCTTTAAAAGCAAATACAACTATGTTGTTCTTGTACCAGGTTCACTCAATACAGAGGCACACGGCGTGATATGTGAATGTGCCTATTCTGCTTTATCTCCCCTTCCCATCGTACTGCTAGTGATTTCTATGCATATATATTTACAGCACTTTTTACATAATGGGCCTGTATTACTTGCATTTTGTTGCAACTTAAAAAAAATGTACTCATGTATCTTGGCGATCTCTAAGCCTTTAACTTTGTTTTTAAATAGTAAAATACATGTAGCATGAAATTTACCATCTTAACCATTTTTAAGTTTACAGTTAAGTTTAAGTACATTCATATTGTGGTGCAACCATTACCACTATCCATCTGCAGAACTCTTTTTATCTTATAAAACTGAAACTTCATATCTATTAAACAAAATCCCCTAACTCCCCATCCTCCCCTCCCTAGCTCTGGGCAACTACAATTTTAATTTTTATCACCGTCAACTTAACTACTATAGGTACCTCATATACGGGGAATATTAAGTACATTCATATTGTGGTGCAACCATTACCACTATCCATCTGCAGAACTCTTTTTATCTTATAAAACTGAAACTTCATATTTATTAAACAAAATCCCCTAACTCCCCATCCTCCCCTCCCTAGCTCTGGGCAACTACAATTTTAATTTTTATCACCGTCAACTTAACTACTATAGGTACCTCATATACGGGGAGTCATACAGCATTGGTCTTTTTGTGTCTGGATTATTTCACTTAACATTCCCTCAAGGTTTATCTGTGTTGTAGCATCTATCAGAATTTCCTTCCTTTTAAAGGCCGAATAATATTCCATTGTATGTATATATTACATTTCATTTATTTATTCATCTGTCGATGGGTACTTGGGTTACTTCCAACTTTTGGCCATTGTAAATAATGCTGCTATAAACATGGGTGTACAAATATCTCTTCAAGATCCTGCTTTCAGTTCTTTTGGGTAGATCCCCAGAAGTGGAATTGCTAGATCATATGGTAATTCTAGTTTTAATTTCTTGAGGACTTGCCATACTGTTTTCCATAGCAGCTACATCATTTTACATTTCCCACCAGGATTCCAATATCTCCACATCCTTGCCATCTTAATGGGTATGAGATGATATCTCATGGTGGTTTCGATTTGTATTTTCCTAATGATTAATGATGTTGAACGTATTTTCATGTGCTTATTAGCCATCTGTATGTATTTGGAGAAATGTCTGTTCAAATCCTTTGCCCATTTTTATAATTGGGTTGTTTGTTTGTTCTTTTGTTGTTGATGAATTGTAGTCGTTCTTTATATATTCTGGATATCAGTTCCGTATCAGGTATATGAGTATAACTCTTTAGCTTTTAGACTAAAAGCTCTTTTGATTCTCTCTCCACCAGGTGAAAATGTGCTCATGCACTCTCATGAATGGGGTGTGTGTGGGGAAACATTGCATTCCCGTCTCAGGCTTCTAGTGATGGTGATACCAAGCAAGGGTATTTCACTCTGGCAAGTTTCCAAACAGAGGAAGCAATATGTCTTAGTTGGGTTTATCCAGAAACAGAACACACACACACACAATATTATAATATATTTATTATAAAGAATTGGTTCACATGAATATGGAGGTTGCCAAGTCCCAAGACCTGCAGGGGAGTAGACAGCTTGAGATCCAAGAGAGCCCTAATGATATAGTTCCAAGGCCAAAGGCCTGAGAACCAGAAGAGCTCCTGTTTTAGTTTGAGCCCAGAAACAGAAAAAAGCTGATGTCCCAGCTCCAAAGCAGTCAGGCAGGAGGAATCCTTGGTTAGGGAGGGGTCAGCCTTTTGTTTGAGTCAGGTCTTCAGCTGCTTGGAAGAGGCCCACCCCCATTAAGGAGAGCAATCTGCTTTAGTCAGTCTACTGATTTAAATGTTAGTCTCTTCCAGAAACACCCTCATCCACCACTCAGAATAACGTTCGACCAAATATCTGGGCACCACCTGGTCCAGTCAAGTTGACACGTAAAACGCAACATCTCACAGCATTAATAAACGATCCTCCCCTCCTCTGCCTTGTGAATTAGTTTGACAATGAAGAACAGCCTCAGGATCATAATTTTCCTGTAGGGTTTGTGGTTTGGGTCTGTTAGTGAGCTTGTTCCTTCGCATATGAAGCCATAACCAGACAGGCCCTCTCCGAAGGGCTCCTGGAGGCTGTTTCTAGGGCAGATGTTCTCCCCAGCATTGTGCAGCTTCTAAAACTCTTAGAGCGAGTTTTCCCTTTACCGAATCAACAATTTTTATGACCTAAAATTGCTTAAATAGTGACTGAAGCTTTGTAGTTGTATGTATGACTTTTCTAAATTATTCCTGTTTTTAAGGTTTGAGCTATTTTCTTTTTCTTTTGTAACCTCATCACTTCTTGCTCATTATCAGCATTTTCTCACCCTATAGGAGCACCAGTGAAATCCCATGAGAACTAGGGCTTATCTTTGTGAGTATTGCTTATTTAGGACCTCTATGTTGAGTGTTAATAGTATAGTAGATTCTTTGAAGATCTTCATATTTCAAGAAACTTGTTGATCTAGGCAGGGATGGAGAACCTTTTTCTGCCAAGGGCTATTTGGATATTTATAACATCATTCATGGTCCATACAATATTATCAACTTGAAAATTAGCCTGCTATATTTAATCAAACATTGAATTAACTCACCCCTAATGACATGGAAGGGCCAGACCAAATGATTTTGAGGGTCTTATATGGCTCGTGGGCTGGACATTCCCTATCCAAAACTTCTGTGCAACCCAGGCCAGTGTGGCTCAGTTGGTTGGGCATTGTCCTGTGCACCAAAAGGTTGCTGGTTCAATTCCCGATCAAGGTACATGCCTGGGGTTGTGGGCTCGATCCCCAATAAGGGGCAAGCAAGAGGCAGCTGATTGATGTTTTGCTATCACATTGATGTCCCTCTCTCTCTCCCCTCTCTCTCTCTCTCCCCTTCTCCCTTCCCCTCTCTCTCTAAAAATAAAAAAGAAATCTCTCACACACACATACACACACACACACACATACACACACACACAACTTCTGTGCGTTTTTGGTAAAGGAGGTTCTTACTATTTGACTCTAATTACTTAAGCCCTAGACCAGTGATGGTGAACCTATGACACGCGTGTCAGAGGTGACACGTGAACTCATTTTTTTGGTTGATTTTTCTTTGTTAAATGGCATTTAAATATATAAAATAAATATCAAAAATATAAGTCTTTGTTTTACTATGGTTGCAAATATCAAAAAATTTCTATATGTGACACAGCACCAGAGTTAAGTTAGGGTTTCGGCACTAATTGTCAATTCATTCACTCATTCATTCATTCATTCATTTATATATATGATAGTATGCTAAATGTTGGGGCTCTGGCACGGAACTATACACGCATAGTTCTTGCCTTCATAGACCTTACATCCTAATGGGGCCTAGTGAGCTTTTATACCTAGTACAATAAACATGCAACTGTTCCCCCTGCCATACTGCAAAGAAGAACCAAATAATCTTAGGTCATAAGATAATCTTGTATTAATAAATAAATCACTTAATAATAGATACATAAAAAATACAACAGGTGATACTATAAAGAGTGATTTGGGTGTCCTATATTTTTCATTGGGAAACATATCAACCTAACAGTCTGTTTGTTTTTAATTATTTAGTTCTTTGAATGGGCAGTGTGCATATGTTTGTGCATATCCAACAAAAATAAAAAGGCAAGAAAGAGTATGCAGTGAAATGTAATCCACCTAGTTTCTCTCTGCAGAGTAGCTGTTATTTCTTACATATTTTTCCATGGCTTCTTATTAGTCTTTGTATAGAAATATGCAAATACATATATTTGCATTATTTGAAAAAACCTCCAAGAGATTAAACTCTACCTGCTATTCTACACTTTTTTTCACTCAACAGGGTGTCTTGGAGATCAGTCCATATCAGTACGTTCATAATGTCTTGTCCCTTTTGATGGCTGCATAGTATTTCACCATGGGAATGTGTGTGAGGAAGCATTATAGTACAGAGACGAAGAATCCCTACTTTACCCCTTACTAGCTGTGCATCTTGGGTTAGTTAACTAAACTTTCTACGCCTTAGATTTCTTCCTTAATATAGGGTTTATAAAGGTATACCTCACTTTACTGTGCTTCACTTAATTGTACATTGTAGATATTTTTCATCAACATCAAGGCAGGAGCCTCTACCAGCAAAAAGATTATGATTTACTGAAGGCTTTAATGATGGTTAACATTTTTTTAGCAATGGAGTATTTTAAAATTAAGCTATGTACATGTTTTTTTCCAATATCAGGTTATTGAACACTTAAAAAACTATAGTATAGTGTAAATATAACTTTTATATGCACTGGGAAACCAAAAAATTCACATGACCCACTTTATTGCGATATTTGCTTTATTGCGGTGGTCTGGAACAAAATCCATAGTATCTCTGAGGTATGCCTATAACAGTGTTTAGCTCATAAGACTGTAGTTAGGTACCAATGCATTTTATCTATTACTTTGTATGATAATTTATTTAAGGAGTTCCTACTGGTGACATTTAGATTGTTGTCAGCATTTTGCTATCAGAAGCAACACAGCAATAAATAATCCTGTAATATATATCATTTCACATTTGTACAAGTTTATATTTGGAATGAATTCCTAGAAGTAGAATTGCTGGGTCAAATGGCTACGTATGTTGATGGATATTGCCAACTGGCTGTCTGAAGAGGTTGTACTAATCTACAGTCCTAGCTAGAGTGTGTAAGATTGGGTATGTGGGGTAGAGACAGGGCTTACTTCAGATTGGGTGGTTGAGGAAGGCCACTCTATAGACATGAAATTGAAATTGAACCACAGATGATGAGACGGAGCCAGCCAGAAAGATCTGGGGTCACAACAGCTGGGGCTTAAGCTACAAGGCAGAATTGGCCCCGGTGTGTTCAAGGCCCTGAAAGCAAACCAGGTGAGTGAGGAGGAGGGTGCCTGGCTCTGAGTTGGACAGAAAGGCAGAGTTCCTATAGACTGTACTTAGGAGTGTGTTCTGAGCAATGGAAACCATGGGTTCTAAAGGCTGGTTTTGTAAGATCACTCTGGTGGTAGGGTAGAGAGTAGAGAGTCAGGGGCAAGTGAAGGAAGCAGAGAGATTAGTTAGGAGCTATTGTACTGATGAGAGAGAGAGAGAGAGAGAGAGAGAGAGAGAGAGAGATGGGTGCCTGGCATAGAAATCGAGGAGGTGGAACCTGTAGGCTTTACTGATGGCTGGGTGGGAGGAGGAGGGAAGACACAGAGAGGGGGGACTCAAGGACAGTGGATATGTTGACTAAGCAGTTGGATATACAAGTCTCGAATTCAAGAGAGTGCTCCAAGGTGGGGATATTATACATTTGGGAGTTGTTTCCTTTAAATACCATCTGTATAAGTACCGCGCGCTAACCGATTGCGCCACTGGAGCTCCCCTTTAAATACCATCTGTAGAGCATGAGATCATGTAGGGAGTGAGGGCAGATAGAGAGGAGACAGGGACTAAGAACTGAGAGTCCAGGAGAAGTATAGGAACTAGCAAATCAGATGAGTAGGAGCCACCAGTGAGGTTGGCTGGAAGCCAGGAGAGCATGGAGCCCTTGAAGCCAAGTGAAGAGGACCCAGGACTCAAGGAGCATCACGGAGGAGAAAATGATGAACAGTGTCCAAAGCTGTGAAAGGCCAAGTAAAAGTCTTCCCCCTTTCACATGGAGAAGAGGTAGCACTCCGCCCTGGGCGTCCACACAGAGCAGCAGTGGAAAAGAGGTCTAGCGGGTGCAGAGCTGTCAGCAGCATCCTCACAGGAAAAGCATCTTCCTCCATCAGTTCTGGCTTTTCCAGAAGGAGAGAGATGAATAGGGGCAGAGGGTAGTTTTGAATGTGACACAGTGATGCACTTCTTCACCCTTTTTGGACACTGGTTATATTTAATTGATTCAGATGGTTTTATAGGATCCCTAGCAGATGAAATGTCTTTCCCTTTTATTTTACATATCACTCAGGATCTCCTGAATTCTTGACATTTTTATTAAGACTTCCTCATACACCTACAAATAGTGCCCAGACTCCATAACCTTTCTGGTAACACATGACTTTTATGTTTAAGGAAAGTCTCAGGCATCAAAACTGGTCAGTTAGTGCACCAAGACCCAGCCTTGGTAGCTTTTTTCCAAATGGTCACCATGCGTACATCCTTCCTTCCAGGAAGCGATATAAACCCCCAAGGCTATTTTTGCTATGAGGAGATTATGGCAGAACATATGGAATTTTCACTGCCCAGGAGCAGAAGAGAAGTCCTGTCTTTGCTTGAGCAAGCCACTTGGTGAATGCCTCAGGCTTAGGGCAACTGTGAATGGTTGTGATTCATGGGGAGTGTACCAGGAGCTGCAGCTGGTCCCAGGAGCGTACTAACCTGATGTTTCCCAGGACGTTGTGTGTGGAATTTGCCCCATTTGTCAAGTTGAGTGGGCACTGATAATCCTCTACAAATCTCTGTGCACATTAATATTTTACCTTGAACCAAAGGAAATAGAATTCTAAAATATTGGCATTTTGAGGGCGAATATTTAGTGATGGGTATTATAAACTTTTAGTATTGTAGATATTCTGTCTTGACCAGAATAAACATGAAAGAAAAAGGGGAGTTATAATAAGTTACCAGCGAATTGTTCAATTCCCTGACTTAAAAGCATATTCATCTTTAAGTCGTTGTTAAAAGCAGATTCATCTATAAGTAAAACCATTGAGCAACAAAAGAGGATCTTCTAGGACAGTGGTTCTCAACCTTCTGGCCCTTTAAATACAGTTCCTCATGTTGTGACCCAACCATAAAATTATTTTCGTTGCTACTTCATAACTGTAATGTCGCTACTGTTATGAATCGTAATGTAAATATCTGATATGCAGGATGGTCTTAGGCGACCCCTGTCGAAGGGTCATTCGACCGCCAAAGGGGTCGCGACCCACAGGTTGAGAACCGCTGCTCTAGGAGATTAAGCCAGTCAGTTATTGTATTGTTTCAGGACAGATTATACTCTCAGTTCTAATAGGATCCTGAAATTAATTTCTGTTATCATGGAAAGTATTTATAATAATTTCTAGCCAGGCTAGAAATTGAAAAGTTAGTTTTATTATCTGGATCTTGTGTCCCCCGGTGTTCCAGGAGAATGGACATATGGCAGGTCTATTTTAAATGCTGTTGTTGAAAAAAACACCCTTCCCTAAATTAAACACGGTTGATTTTGCCTTTTGGCATTTATTATTGTTTTAATCAGACTAAGTTTAGGCTTATTAACCTTAGGGCACAAAATCCCATTTGTCTTCCTGGATGCTTGAGCATGGTTGGCGAGCTAGAGGGAGGGGACATGGTTTAGCAGGTCTGCGGACCAAGCCACTTGGTACTTACTGACCTCAGCGAATTAATCTCTCCAAGCCTCTGTCTCTTCATCGCTGTTTTAGGGGAAATAAGTTGCATCACGGAGTTATTGTGACAATCACATCACCTATTTTATGTAAGGTCTTAGCACAAGGATGCGTGGGGGTACAGAATAAGTGGCAGCTCTTGTTTTTGTTGTTATTGCTGCTGTGGTCTCCTGCAGCGGGCAGTCTTGAAGATGGAAGAAACATGGTGGTCGAGCCTTGGTGAGATATCTCAGCATCTTTGCTCTCACTTGTGTGCTGCACCCTTGTCTGAAACATCTTGCCCTCACCTCACCCTGCCTTCTGGTTCAGCTGAGGCACCAGGGTTGGGGGTGAGGGAGTGGAGGAGAGCCACCCTTCACAGCCACCACCAGTTAGGCCACAGGAAGCAGGGCTTCCGAGGCGGGCCTGTTAGGGTGGGATCCATGGTTCCCTCTCCTTCAGGGCTCTTGTCTTGCTCAGTCTCTCGGCACTTCTGTGCAGACCTGCTTACCCCCGGTCCAAGGGCTTATGAGGTTGTTACTCCTTTGTGTTAGGGTTTCACATAGGCCACTCACATCCCACTGCTTACATTTGCCCTGGGTGTGACTTGATTAGATGTTTTGAATGTCAAGTGGGTGGTGAATAACACACACACACACACACACACACACACACACCCTTCCCTGCTCCTAGTTACTAGGTCTAGCACACATGGCTCACAGATGAGGGTATAAAGAGGTCTAACATTCCACTATTGACAAACTACTCTCTTTCAAAATGCCAAATCCTTGCAATTCTGTTTATTTTCAATAGGACCCGTTTGGCCAAGAAGTCATGAATTGGTCAATTAAAGTAAAATATTTGTGTTTGATAAAAAATAACTTTGGTATTTTGTTTTCCATGTGCCTTCAAATTACCATATGCAAACCTGTCACCCCAAGCAAGTCAAGGAAGAGAGAGTGACTTCTGTTGGCCTTTCCCCGATTAAACAAAACAAACACAATATAACCACGGCCTTTCCTTTTCCCTTGGAAATGTTTTCTCTTCCCCTCTCTCTTTTTCTCCCTTCCTCTCTCTCTACCTCTCTTGGTCTCTCTGTGTGTTTTTCTCTCTCTTTCTCAGAACAGTACCTGGCAGTTTGGGGGCCATGGGATTTCTGTGTTTTCCTTTGCTTTTGTACATTTGTTTTATGATCATAAAGATCTGTAGCTAATCTCTGAAATCTCCTATCAAGAGGTTCCCACTGGCACAGAATCAATTATTTATTGATTTAGAAGAAGAAAAATACAGAATGGCAAAGACATGGTCAGGCTTTCTGTATCTCATTTTGGTTGATCGTCTCTCAAACAAACCTCTGTAGGGACTCGCCGCTGAGGAAACCTGCTCCCAGTGGAATAGTATACATTTTCGAATTTCTGCTCTCCTGGGCGGTCATTGGATGGTGAAGACGCTGGCAGTTTTTGCTTGCAGACGCCCTGGTTTTCATTAGCAGTCTGGCGGTGACAGCTTGCTCTAGCTGCTTCCTCCGTCGTTGCTCACAGGAATGGTGCCGAATGCTCAGAGGTGGCACGGGCTTCGGGGATGGCAGCGGCTTCATCAGCACGCCCTCGCCCCGGCCCTCAATTGTCACAGCGGCAGGTCGTGCCTCCGAGAAGGAGAACATTGCTGATTAGTGTGCCTGGCGCATTGGGCAGGCTGTGAGGAAAATGCCACAGTATGATCTCTGTTGATTTCCCAAACAATTACATTCTCCTGGCTCCCCGCTGGCCTCCCCCTTCCGCACAGACCTCGCTTTTGTCTTCCACGATAAAGATTGTCCTTTTGGTCTTTCCCACTAGGCCTCTTGCAGGCTTCTTCTCAGTGTCTGTGACTTCATTCCACCCCTGCCCGTGGCTTCACCCTTTCAATCCTGCTGCAGAAAAGGTTGGCTTTTACTTCCTGGCGCTTTTATCCTCTCAATCAACAGTCTATTGAAAAGAAAAGTATGCATCTAATGATGAATTAAACTCTCTGGGCCTTAGTTGGTTTTCTGATCTGTGAAATGGGGGTAAGCGTGTTACTTACCTCAGAGCGTTATTGTCAGGTTAGAGAAGAAAAGCATGCAAAGTGCTCAGAATATGCTCAGGTGTATGGTCATCACTCAACACGGGCGGCATCGTCGTCTCCTTCATCACCGGCACCCTAGGAACACGCTGGGTCTACCAGCAGGGACCACTTGTACTCTTGATACCGTGATCACATGTTAGGTCCTGCAGATCACAACCCACGTCTCTTCTGAACTCATTTCATGTGGTACCAATTGCCTTTTCTAGCTTATATTCTGCATCTTCAAGGAATAGTCTTCTTGTCCCTTCTTTTCTGCCTGTTTCACTACACTCCTTCATTTACTGCATTAGCATCGGCAAAGCAGCATTACAGATGTCATTGCATTTAATCCCTGTGGCAGCACTATGCTCTCTGTTTTACAGAGGATATCATTTCAGATCACAGAAGTATGTACTTGTTTGGCTTAAGATAACCAGCCAATAGGAGGCAGACCCAAGAATCACACCTGAGTCTTCTGACTCCAAGTCCAGTGTAGTTTCCCTGTGGAGCCATTTTTTTTGTGTGTGTGGAGGAGCAATGACTTTTCATTTTCTATCTGGAGTTTATCAAGAAGTCAGTACATTTAACTTGGAAGGTAACTAAGTCTCTCGCTAAGAGGCATCCATCTCATCTTCTCCCAGCACCATGGCTTGATCTTATTTACCAGGTTTCTTTTCCAGTGTTCACTGAGGGCAGAGGACTTAAGGACAAGATAATATGGACGCAGCTTTGTCTAGGCTGGAAAAGGGGTCCTGGAGGAGTACAACACGAGGGGACTCTGTTCAACGAGGAGGGCACAGTTATCCCTGGGCAAGTAGAGGCAACAGGGACATTAAAGCAAGAGCTAGTTTTGCAAACCTGACAGACACTGCTGTGTATGGCGTTGGGTGTCTGTAGAAGAATCCTGATTGAATCCATCTGGCCCTGTCTTTGGCCCCAAGTCCAGGCAAATCTTTGCTCTACTACTTGGGTAGAGTAGCAGTGGGCATCAGGTCCATCCGTCCGTCCGTCCGTCCATCCATCCATCCGATGCTCAATACCAGCTGTGTGCCTGGTGCTGTGTTAGGCACTGAAGTAACGGGGATGGAAGATCCTGTGCTGTGGATAATCCAGCTTCCTGGTTCCTGGGAGATAGGGGAGGAGGGAAAGAAATGGGGAACAGTTAGAAAGTCATATGAAGAGAAAAGCATTCTTAATCAAAGGGAAGCAAGTCTACTTTAGCCAAACCTACCACCCCTGCATTTTTGAACATGGTGTCATAAGCCTGTGAGCATTAGTGAATATTAGGAGATGCATCACACAGCATCACTGGCCCACAGAGCCCCTGAACGATGGAGAACCCAGCAGTGAGCCCCACATGTGGTTGGAAAGCCCTGGACTATGAAGGAAAATAACTCCCTTTCTTTCACGGTCTCAAGGAGATTAACTGATTCAACTGCATCTTTAGTTCCTTTAACATCTGGACAGGAAGGCAAATATTTAGTAAGAATAAAGCATTGAGCCCTAACCAGTTTGGCTCAGTGGATAGAGTGTCGGCCTGCGGACTGAAGGTCCCGGGTTCGATTCCGGTCAAGGGCATGTACCTTGGTTGTGGGCACATCCCAGTACGAGGTGTGCAGGAGACAGCTGATTGATGTTTCTCTCTCATCGATGTTTCTAACTCTCTATCCCTCTCCCTTCCTCTCTGTAAAAAAATCAATAAAATATATATTTTTTAAAAAATATATTTTTAAAAAAAGAATAAAGCATTGAATCAGCAAGGAACTTGGTAAAAATTATTAAGACAACAGGCAGGGGAGTTAGAATCCTGCTCCAAGAACTCCATCCCTTAAAGAAGATGTGGTAGATATAAACATGTTTCAGCCCTAAGACAGGGAATCCTGCCATTTGCTACAATATGGATAGAAATGGAGGGTATTATGCTAAGTGAAATAAG